CCAGCATGGTGCAGGCGCTGCCCGAGTTAGGGCCTTTGCATGCCGTGCACTGTGAATAAGACACAATCCCTGCACCCTTGAGCTTACATTCTGGAGGTCCCCGTGTCCCTGCTGCCTCTAGAGCTGCTGAGGGCCCTGGGCTCAGAGTGTGTGTTTCCCTCCTTGGCCCGTGCACTGGTAGAGGGATGAGGCGCTTAGAGGTGCTGCCTTGCATGGACTCCTTGATAACTGCCCCCCCTCCCATGCAGCCATCCGCTTTGGCCGGATGCCAGAGGCTGAGAAGAGGAAGCTGGTGGCAGGGCTGACGGCTAGTGAGGGCAGTCAGCACAACCCTCAGGTGGCTGACCTGAAGGCCTTCTCCAAGCACATCTACAACGCCTACCTGAAAAACTTCAACATGACCAAAAAGAAGGCCCGCGGCATCCTCACCGGCAAGACCAGCCACACGGCGGTGAGTGTCACTGCTCGCTCGGCACTGCGGCATCCCTGGCTCTGTGCCCCTGCCGCCTTCCTGCCTTCTGGGAGAACCAGACCTCCTCCTTCCCCTAACTTCCTGGAACAGGCACCGGGCAGGGGGAACACATGGCGGGGGTCCCCGAGGCCTGGCCTCTAATGGGGCCTGGTCTCTAATGGGGCCTGGTTTTCAGCCCTTTGTGATCCACGACATCGAGACACTGTGGCAGGCAGAGAAGGGCCTGGTGTGGAAGCAGCTGGTGAACGGCCTGCCACCCTACAAGGAGATCAGCGTGCACGTCTTCTACCGCTGCCAGTGCACCACGGTGGAGACCGTACGCGAGCTCACCGAGTTCGCCAAGAGCATCCCCAGCTTCGGCAGCCTCTTCCTCAATGACCAGGTGACCCTCCTCAAGTATGGAGTGCACGAGGCCATCTTTGCCATGCTGGCCTCCATTGTCAACAAGGATGGGTTGCTGGTGGCAAATGGTACTGGTTTTGTCACCCGTGAGTTCCTGCGCAGCCTCCGCAAGCCCTTCAGTGATATCATTGAGCCCAAGTTTGAGTTTGCTGTCAAGTTCAATGCCCTGGAGCTTGATGACAGTGACCTGGCTCTCTTCATCGCAGCCATCATTCTGTGCGGAGGTGAGTGAGGGCGGGCAGGTGGGCGGGCCGGAGGCAGCCAGCCCTCCTGAGGGTGGGGCCCTCCGTGCAGGGCACCAAGCCTGAGCTTGGGCAGGGTGGGGAGGTGTGCGTGTGCTGATGGCCGTAGAATGTGTGAGGCACTAACTGTACATGCAGGACCAGCTCCATCTTACATAGATGGAGATGGGAGAAAAAAGACCAGAAGGACATATATATACCAACATGTTAATGGGATTGTTTCTGGGGTGGAGAAATTTTCTGTATTTTACTGATGTTTTCAATTTGAACACAAAATTGTAATAATTATGCTGTAATAATTATGGCATAGAGCTGACTTCATGCCAGGCATGTTCTAGTTCCTTTTCCCAGATTATAACCCATTTGATACAGCCACCCCGTGCATAGGTACTTCCATATCCCCAGTTTATAGGTGAGGAAACAAGCCCAGAGAGGCTGGCAACCTACCCAGAGCCTTATCGCTAGTCTGGTAGAGCCGGAATGTGAATCGAGGCAGTCTCGTAACCCTGTTACTCTCCTGCCGAGTCAGGAAAACAAAAGAGGGGGGACTAGAACACTTAGTGGGTCAGTCCCTGACAGGACAGGGCTTGGGTTTGTCACAGCATAGAGGCCTACTGAGCCAGGTCCCCCACGCAGGGTGGGGGTAGCGGAGCTCCTCTGACCTCCTAAGACCACGTGCGTGCCTGCTCCGTTCCACACTTTGGCCCTGTGTCCCCACAGACCGGCCAGGCCTCATGAACGTGTCACAGGTGGAGGCCATCCAGGACACCATCCTGCGTGCCCTTGAGTTCCACCTGCACGCCAACCACCCCGACGCCCAGTACCTCTTCCCCAAGCTGCTGCAGAAGATGGCTGACCTGCGGCAGCTGGTCACCGAGCACGCCCAGATGATGCAGCGGATCAAGAAGACCGAGACGGAGACCTCGCTGCACCCCCTGCTCCAGGAGATCTACAAGGACATGTACTGAGGTGCACCCCCAGGGCCTCCCAGCAGGCCTCCGGGGGCCGAGAACCAGGGGCAGGGGACAGCGCTGGGACAGGGGCCACCATGGGACTTTCCCGTTGGCTCCCCGAGCACTCAGCATGGCGCCCGAGCCGGGATCACACACTCCTGTGGTCAGAACCACGCCTCGCTCCCCATATTCCCTTCCCCCCCACTCGTCTTTCTTCTCTAACGTCTTTGCTCTTCCTCTTCCTCTCTATAGGTTTCCCCCTTCCTCCCTCCCACACCCCCCCTTTCTCTCTCCCCATCTCCATGTCTGGCCCTCTCTTTCTGTGAGACAGTTTGTATCTTTCACCAGCAGCATAGGACAGGACTTCTGCTTTTGTCCCTGCCCCCCCGCGCAGAAGGGAGTGGGGCCTGCCCTGGCACCAGCAGTCACTGCAGGGGTGGAGGCTCCTCTGCTCCCGTCCACAGCAAGGGCTGGAGCCATCCAAAGAAACACTAAGCTCTGGGCCTGGCTTCCTGGGGAAGCCGAGCAGGACCTGGGCTGACTGCATCAGTGCCCCCTGGTCACTGGGTCCTGCCCTGAGACTGTCCCCGCCCTCTGGAGGCTGAGGCTGGCACCCCTGACTCAGTGGACCCCGCTCCAGCCCCACGCCCAGCCCCACTCACAGCCCCACTCACACCAACACCCTCTTTGTTCTTTTCACTGGTCTTCCAGGCCAGTGTTGCTGGTGGCCCCCTGCGCTGGCCGCTGGGGGACCTACCCCTGCCTGGAAAGAGGTGGGTTCCCTGCAGGTGGGGGTCCCACACCCCCGTGAAGAGGAACGAGCCTCAAGGGAGGTGAAGGTTGGTGGGGAAGCAGCGAGCAGGCCTCTGGGTCGCCCTCCATCTGCACCCCCCAGTCTGCAGCAGCCTCATCCCACCTGTGTTCTGTCAGCGCCACAGCTTTGCCTCTCCCAGGGCCAGGGCTGGCCTCACACCCCACGACGCCCTGTCTCCAGCCAGGAGACAGTGGCACTGGCCGAGCTCATACCCCACACACACTCCTGGAGCTGCCGCTCCACCGCACAGCACAGCACTGAATTCACTTTACTGCAGGTTCCACACAACCCCCCTTCCCCGAAGTGGATACGTGCCCAGAGGGGCCTGCAGGTGGACGGGCAGGGCTGTGCCCCTGTTCCCAGGGCTGGGCCAGATCCCTGGTCAGCAGGGCATCCTGCTGAGTCAGCCCAGCACCTGCTCACAGGGGAAGGTGCCAGGGATAAACTGATCTGTTTATCGAGACATCCATCTGTCCCAGCAGCTCTGCTACCCTCCCCTTCCCGTATTCAGCCCCTGGTGACTGGGACCTGCCAGGCCAGCCTCACTCCCCAGGCCTTGCCCCTCGCCAGGTGCACTCAGTGCCACAGAGAAGGGGCTGAAGCACAGCTGTCTGAGCAGGAGGGCAAAGCCGCCATGCCACTTTTCCAGCAAGGAAGCTGGCTGGAGTGGCAAGGGCTGGCCAGGGTCTCTGAGAACCTGGGGTTAGAGCCCAGGCTTCCTGGGTCCTGTCTGGTCCTCCTTCAAAAGGGGCATTTTTGTCTGACTGCAGCTCTGGGAGGAAATGCCCTAGAGAGAAGACAAGGCCAGTGTCTGTCCCTACGGGGGTGCTGCGGCCTTCCATGCCCAGGATCACTCTCTACTGGCTTCTTCCTCTCCCATTGTACCCTTGGCTGACCAGGGCCAGCACTGTGAGGGAGAGACGCTGACCTCTGCCTCCCCTACCACCTGCCCATCCCCACCCCACCCAGCTCTAGTGCTGAGAGTACAGCTCTTCTCAGTGTCTGAACAATCTCCAAAATTGAAATGTATATTTTTGCTAGGAGCCCCAGTTTCCTGTGTTTTTAATATAAATAGTGTACACAGACTTATGGAACTTTAAATAAATGGGAATTAAGTATTTAAGAGTTGACTTAGGCTGAGTTCTCTGTGTGTTTTTCCTGGGGGCAGATCTGCCTCCCCCTCCTCTGTATCCAGTGCACAGAAGAGGAAACAGCTGGTCAAATGAGACTGGGATGCGGATGGAACCTGGCTTGTGGGAGCTCCCATCTTTCCCTCACCCCCTCATCAGCAGGGTTGTGGGGAACTGAGAAGGTGCCGTCCCTACCCTGCAGGGATTTCAGGGGGTGTGGAGGAGAAAGACATCTGACAAGCTGGTGTGGTGCCGTGGCACAAAGCAGGGTTGGCTGGGAGGCATCTGGGAGGGTCTCCAAAGGGCCTTGGAGAGGCAACTCCCCTGGGCCTTGAGTGGGATGTGGGCCTTGCAGACTCAAAGCTTGTCCATTCATGTCAGCTTTGTACCCCCACAAGCAACCAGGGTTTTCTTCCCTGTCCTTAGCCAACACCCTGGTTTTCTCCTTTACTTCCTGGGGTGCCATCCTCACAGAGCCTCCAGGGAACCCAGCCCTTGGCAGCCAGTAGGCTTGGCCACAGCGGGAGGCAAGTTCTGGGTGTGTTTTGGTGCCTGTATAGCCAGAAAACAACCACTGCTAAATATTTCAGAATGAGGAGTTTGCTCCAGGGAATTGCAACAAAATAGTGAAAGGACTGAAGGACCCGGCCTTGGTAACCGCAGGAAGCCACTCTTACCCCCAGGGCCGGATGGGAAATGTTATCAAGAGGCCTCGAGGCTGAAATAGCCACCAACTCTGCAGACCCCAGGAGCCCCGCGCGACCCACGATTCAACCTGAAGCAGAGTCCTGCTCACTGTCCATCTGGGCTGCCAGGGTGCCCGTGGCCACTGCTGCTGCCCCTTGAGCAGGAAGCCTGGAGCCGGAACTCGGCTGCTCCTGCCAGAAGTGCCATCCCTTTGCGGGGGAGGGACATTGTCCCTTCTTCCTGTCTTCCAGCCTGTTGCCTGTACCTCCCACTGCAAAAACAGCTGGAAAGGAGTCTAGGGGATGTAGTTTGCAGACTCCCAGCCCCTGTGGTGTAGAGGAGCGAGGGGAAGAGCCAAGAGGCAGCAAATCATGAGCACAAAGCACACACACCGGCCCGAGGGGGGCCATCCCCGCCAGGCTCACAGGTTAAGGAGCTGGTCAAGTCTGACGCCTCCCCGCTTTCTCTTCAGCTGGCTGCCTGGCCAGAGCCATCAAACTCTAAGTCCGTATGGCGCATCTCAGCCAGGAGAGTGACAGTTGCAGGGGAAGAGGAGGAGGGATGCCTGGAACAGGCATCTCAAATTGGTAGCCTTGCTCATGATGGGATCTTCTAGTCGGCATGGCTTATTTTTCTCACCTCCCTACCCTTTCCCACCCCATCAGGCAGGAGGAAAATAGTGGAGTGTGGCTCAGTTGTGAAAGGCCAGTCCTCTTCCCCACACTGCAGAAATAAAAATACTGGCTTCCGATCAACTCGACAGCTCAGTCCGATGAGGCAGAGCAGTCTTGGTACCGCTTTCTGTTCCCTGGCTTCTGGTGCTGCAGGGAGAGCATCGTGTCACTCTGGCACCGGCACTGTCACTAAGGGCTATTCCTTACTAAGCATCTATTTTGTGCCAGGCATTGTGCATATATTACAACCTATGAGGCAAATCTGACTTCTGCCGTTTTACAGGGGAGGAAGCACAAGGACAAAGTAGGGACTGCGCCTGGCACACTCAGCCAGCAGGTGGCATCGCCAGGACTGTGTTGTCCATGGCCCGAGGCGCTGCTTTTTACCCAGGAGCAAAGCCTTGGGGGTAATAGGGAGTCACCTGGTCTCTTTTTAATGATGCTCAGGACAAGTGAGTCAAATATTTAGGCTAAAAAAGAAGAAAACAACCTTAAGAGAATTAGAAGATACTATGGTTGTAATAATTTAATAAAATTCTTCTGAAATAAAAAATTAAAGAACAAAAGGAAGAAAGGAAGCAGGGAGGGGAGGGGAAGAAAGGGGGCTCCAGGTTGGTAAGTCCCTGGGGGGTACTTTAAGAAGCAGATGCAGCCCGGTCACTGTGGCTCAGTTGATTGGAGCGTCCTATATACCAAAAGGTGGTGGGTTCGATTTCCAGCCTGGGCAAATAGCCAGCTTGCCTGTTTGATCCCTGGTTGGGGCGTGTACAGGAGACAACTGATTGATATTTCTCTTACACCGATGTCTCTCTCTTTCTCCCCCACCTTCCTCCCTCTCAAAAAAAAATAAAAATCAATAAAAACATATACGTGGGTGAGGGTTTTAAAAAAACAGATTAGCCCTGGCTGAAGTTGCTCAGTGGTTAGAACATCAGCCCCTCACATGGAAGGGTTGCAGGTTCAATCCCCAGCCCCCAGAGGCAACCAATCTATGTGTCTCTCTCACATCGATGTTTCTCTCTCTCCCCCTCCCTCCCTTCCACTCTCTCTAAAAATCAATGGGGAAAAATGCCTTCATGTGAGGATTAGCAAAAATAAAATACAATGGATTAGAAGCAGCCAAAGAGATCATTTTTGCACATCAAGAAAAACCTGGAGAAATTATCCAGATAATAGTCCAGAAAAAACAAGATAGAAAATGTGGAATAGTTCAGCCAGTTTTTTGTAGAAATTGACATGTCATTCTAAAATTTATATGGAAATGCGAAGGAACTAAAAAAAATGTGGAGTGGAAGAATAGCACTACACATTCTCATATAGTGCAGAAGGGAGCAGAAGCTGGCACAAGCAACTTGAAAAACAATTTAGCAAAATTCAATAAGTGAAAATGTGCCTGCAGATGCTGTGGGCGGCCCCCAGGTCCCACCCCTTAGGACCCGGGCACTAATTCCACGGCTGCCAGGAGAATTGGCTGCTGAGCCACAGCTGACTTCCCTCTCAGGAGATTGCCCTTACAGAAGGGAGCTGCCTCACCCCTCGGGCAGCCCACAGCCAACATGGGGGTCTGAGGCCAAGCCTCCTTGCCCCAATTTGGGACAACTTGAAGGATCACCCCAGCTCCACAGCTGAAGTACCTGTTGTAACCACATTACAATTTAGCTTCTCTCGATACCCAGTCCTGCATCCTTCAATTCCCTACAGGTGTTGTTCCAAAGAGCACACCCCGTTGAGTGTCCTGCAGGTAAACAGATTTGGATCTGTTTCCTGGAGAAACCAACCCAAGACAATGCCCTAGAGTGAAACCCACCAAGTTATGTTCATCGCCGCAATAGCAGAAACTTGGAAACGCCAAAATGTTCATCAACAGGAAAATGGATGAACTTGATATATTTACATAATGGGGGGGGGGGACTAGAAGAAACACATGGGGGAAATGTATGTAATCTTGAAGTGGATAGACCTTTCAAGTCTACTGTATAACCCAAAGTTTCTAAATTTCATGCTTAGAGTCTATAAAATTTAAAAAATGAAAATTTTACCATATACACATTTTAAAATTTCTTCCTAGCGAAAAATTTTAAATCAACCATGTAAAAAAACTGTCACATAATCAGACAAAGGGCTAATTTCCTTAATATATAAATCAATGAGCAAAAGGTTAACAACCCAATAGAAAAATAGCAAAGGATATGAACAGAAAGAAAAAAGAGAAATACTTAAACATATGAAAAGATGCTTAACCTCACTCATAGTAAGAGAAATATATATATTAAAACTACAATATACAGTGTTTTTACCAACCAAATTGACAAATACTAAAAGTTTGAGGGGACTCCAAGATGACGGTAGATTAAGTGGAAGCTGCACTGACACTCTTCCACAACCAAACTGGAATTACAACTAAAATATAGAAAAACCACCCTGAATAATGAACTGAAGACTAGCTGAAGAGAACCCTCATAACCAAGGACTAAAAGTGGAGACCCTGTAGAGACTGGTAGGAAGTGCAGAGGTGAGAGAGGGGTTGCTGGGTTCCCACAGGCAGCAGCTGAAGGTCCAGAGGGATATCTCAACTGTGGGGGGTTCCCACTGAGAACTCTGGGGCCTAAATCCCAAGTGGGGCTCCCCAGACCAGGGCACCATAACTGAGAAAGGTACCCACATAACGACTGGCTGTGAAAAGCAGAAAGGTTTCTGTCTGCCAGGGAGAGATGCCTGGAAATGCAGACACCCTCTTAAAGGGCCAACACACAAAGTTTCGTGTGGAGCCACTCACCTTGGGCTCCAGCAGAGAGAGGGCAGAGTGGACTAGAGCTGTGTGAGGAGAATCCAGGGTTGCAGGCTATGGAGATAGAGCTTGGAGGGCACCCGTCTGGACTCCTGTGATGAGTCATTCCCCCATATGGCAGAGGATATCTCCCTCAGGCAGACATTTACTATCCAGACAGCTTTGTCTCAGGGGGAAGCAACTGCTCCACCCTGTTGGGAAACCTCTCACCCCACCCTGTGGAGTTTCTACAGCCTGAGGTTCATTAAGAGACAGAATAACAATCAGCCTCTGGGTGCTTTGGGTCTTTGCCTGATTTGCTTCTGGACCCAGGGCTTGGAAAAGCAGACCTTGGTGCGCATTTTGGTCCTTTCCAAATGCACCCAGCCTCAGCAGAGGAAGCCACAAACTGTGGATTGCGGAGAGCTTCAAACAGGGTTCTNACTGTCTCTTATACACATCTAGATGTGTATAAGAGACAGGTCATAAACAGCATCTGACATTGGCCTGCACCAGGGACCATCCAAAAGACTGGGAGTCCTAGCAGATCTACCTAATACATAGAAACAAGCCCAAACAGGCAGTCAAAATGGGGAGACAAAAAAACAAGCCTCAAATGAAAGAACAAAAGAATTCTCCAGAAGAGCTAAGTGAAATAGAGATAAGCAATCTATCAGATACAGAGTTTAGAATGCTAATCATAAGGATGCTCAACAGCATGAGAAAAGACATGGAAACTATGAAAGAAATTAAGAATGACATAGTAGAAATAAAAAATACATTCAAAGGAATAAACAGCAGATTAGGGGAAGCTGAGGATCGGATCAGCGAATTAGAAGACAGGGTAGGAAAAAAATCACTCAATCAGAGAACCAAA